GCCGGAGGTAGATGCTTCTGACTCTTCTTGGTCCTGACCCCTCATCTCTGAATAACACAGTTCTCCCCACAAACTGTGGCCTTCTCCATTTTAGATGTGGCCCACAGGCTTTGTGCATGTGGAGGAGCTAGTTCTTGCAAACCTTTCCCCCCAGGCCAGTCTTCTAAGGATTCCGACTGTAGTTCCCATATCTGCTGAGTGAGCTCCAACTCACAACAATTCATGTGTGTCGGAGAACTGTGCTCAATCCAGTTTCTAATGGTCTATCACCACAGCTGTCTTTGGGTGGACTGAATCCGCTGTTACCTGTTCAGCATCACCGTCTCCACTGACAGATGGTGGTCACACATGAGGTGCCCTGGTAGGGAGCCTCCATGTCTCCCACATGGGAGGGGACAGTTCTATAACTGAGCTATCATTGCCCTCAAACCCTATCCTAAGAGTGGTAATACAGTGGGGAAACTCGACAAACAGGGCCAGAGCTGGACGTTCTGAGCTAATCTATCCACACAGATAGGACAGATACTGGTGCCAGACGCCAAGAGATACAGAGATTGCACAACCTGCTCACCCATGGGAACAGGTGGCCTCTGTTCTCCCAGCACATACCGGTTCCACCCACCTCCTTTGATACTCCAGGCCAGCTGCACTGGGATCCACTGGTAAACTCCTAAGCATCCCATAAAGTCCACTCGTGAATGTGCTGAGACTCTGCCTTCTACCATCTCTGTTGATTTTTGTGTTTAATTCTCCCGCTGCCTAGCCTGCAGGCTCCTCCAGGGAGGAGAGTAAGGCCCTCCTCTGGGTGTGGTTATGAAATGACTGGACACAATGTTTTCACTCAGAAATAGACCAGAGTCAGCAGTACTCAGCTCCCAGCTCCTTGGCTATGCCCTGGGGCTGGGCTGAGCTCTGCTCCACCTGCTCTTCTGGGAGGAGGTTTAATGAGGGGTGCAGCTGGTCAGGGGAGGGGAGGCACACCTTGCACCTGGCAGCACTTGTACCAACACCTGCAGCAGCACCTGATTAGTAGCTGAAGGGGGGCCAGTGGACCCACCTCCTCATCTTCTTAGGGCCAAAGCAACAAAATACTTAAAAAACATTAACAGGATCTTTGATACTTTGCTGTGTATATTTCCATCACAATAAAAACACCAACAACCGGGGATCTTTGCCTTGCCTCCACAACCTCTCCCCTTGTGGTCATGGGGTGGGAGAGGAACTTCCTTAACCAATGACTGGCACTCTCCCCAACCCCTCACCCCTGTGTCCTTTCAGAAGGCACAGACCCACCTTACTTACGTTTAGAATGTAAGAAACATAATTTTTGAGGAAAGTTTCAATGGAATGAACCATGCACCTCCCTGCCTTTCTTTTCCTCAATCACTGTAATTGTTGTTATTAGGTGTCATCGAGTTGGTTCCGACTCATAGTCACCCTATATAGGGTTCCAAGGAGTGGCTGGTGAATTTGAATCACCAACCTTTCTGTTCAAACTGACTTTGTGGTCCAGTCAGCAGCACGCCAGGAGTCCCCTTAATCACTTTCTGTTGTTTACTGCTGTTGAGCTGATTTCAACTCATAGTGATCCTGTACTGTGGATTTGAACTGCTGATCTTGCAATTCAAACTGACCTTACAGTCCAGCGATTTTCCTACAGCATCATACCAGGACACCCCCTTAGCCACAACTAGTTCTTAAATCATTAAAACCACTGAGTATTGCAGACACTTAAGCTCTCTGCTATGAGCCAAAAGGTTGGCAGTGCAAATCTACTCAGAAGTAACGTGGAAGAAAGGTCTGGCAATTGGATTCGGAAAAATCAGTCACTGGGAACCCTTTGGAGCACAGTTCTACTCGGACACACCTGGGGTATCATGAGTCAGAATCAAATGGGCAGCAAGTGGTACCCACACCTTTCTATAGAAACATAAGTGGACACTTGCAGATTGCTGGATTTTTGAAACCCAGAAATTGTGTTTCATATCGGTCTCGCCACTTGCCACTTGCCTTTGCTAGCTGAGAGATGTGGCTCTGACCTGCTTGTTCTCTTCACTGCTGTTCAAGGTTTCGGAGCAGGTGCTGACCCGTCCCAACACAGAAAACACAGGTTTTTGAAGCACTTGGTGATAACTGTGAATATGTGCTGTTTACAACGCCCTCAGCAGGAGCTCTGGTAGCGTAGTGGTTACGAATCAGGCTGCGAACCGCAAGGTCAGGAGTTTGAAACTACCAGCTGTTCTGCAGGAGAAAGATGAGGCTTTCTGCTCCTGTAAAGATTTACAGCCTCAGAAACCCTGTTCAGGGTCGCTATGGGTCGGAACCGACTCCATGGCACTTATCAACAGCAGCATCCAAGCTGGTCCCGCTCACCTCTTCAAAAGGCCCCAGCTTGGTGTGTTTTCTTATTTTGGGACTATTTTCTTGTTGTAGTCTAGGCAACTAGTTGAGTCCTGGTGTGGCGCTGTAGGATAAGCAATGGACTGCTAACTGCAAGGTTGGCAGTTCAAACCCACCCGTTGCTCTTGGAAATGCTATGCAGGGTTGTTATGAGTCAGAACCAGACTCGATGGCATACAACAACATGCAACTGGTGGCACAGTGGTTAAGCATTCAGCTGCTAACCAGAACGTCAGCGATTCGAAACCACCACAGGAGATGATGGGACAGTCTGCTTTTGTAAAGATTTACAGTCTTGGAGATTGTCGTTGCTAGATGCCACCGAGTCTGCTCTGACTCTACGCACAACAGAACGAAACACTGCCCGGTCTTGCACCAACCTCACAATTGTTACTACACTTGAGCCCACTGCTACTGCCTCTGTCTTAATCCATCTCATTGATGGGAGTCTCATTCTTTTTCGCTGACCCTCCACTTTATCAAACGTGATGTCCTTCTCCAGGGACTGGTCCCTTCTGATAATATGTTCAGAGTATGAGAGATGAAGTCTGGCCATCTGGCTTCTAAGGAGCACTCCGGCTGCACTTCTTCCAACACAGATCTATTGGTTCTTTTGGCAACCCATGGCACTTTCAATATTCTCCTCCAACACCACAACTCAAAGGCATCAATTCTTCTACGGTCTTCCTTAGTCACTGTCCAGCGTTCGCATGCATATGAGGTTATTGAAAATACTATGGCTTGGGTCAGGCACACCTTAGTCCGCAAGCTGACATCTTTGCTCTTCAACACTTTAAAAAGTTCCTGTGCAGCAGATGTGCCTAATGTAATATGTCATTTGATTTCTTGACTGCTGCTTCCGTGAGTGTTGATGGTATATCCAAGCAAAATGAAGACGTTGGCAACTTCAATCTTTTCTCCATTGACCATGGTGTTATTTATTGGTCCAGTGGGGAGGATTTTCGTTTTCTCAGAAACCCTATAAGGCAATTCTACTCTCTCCTAGGGATCGGAATGATGTCCGTGGGTTTTGGATTGCGGTCAGAACTGCAGACCCCAGCAGAGCCCTTGACTCCCCTCCTATTCAGTCAATGATTCAGACTCACGTGCCCCTGTGTGTGTCAGAGAGAACTGTGCTCCATGAGGTTTTCAAAGGATGATTTTTCAGAAGGAGATTGCCAGGCCTTTCTTCCGAGGTGCTTCTGGGTGAAGGTAGACAGCTGAGCGTTTTCACTGTGTGCACCACTCAGGGACTGATTGTCAGTGAAGCTTGATATTATCGTGGCATGTCTGGACTCTGCGTCCCTGCTCTCACTCTCACTGCAAAGACAGCACTTATGCCTGGCACTCTCAGGTCTCACAGTCCTTTCCTGATCCTGGGTCACCAGGCCCACCGGCTCCTTTAGTCTTCTCATCCACCACATTTCCTCTTACCCATCATGCTCCAGGAAAATGGAACTGCAACAGGCTGCAGTCACCTCCCGCCAACCCCCCCCCCCATCCTCCTCTGCTTCTACCCACACTGCCTGCAGGCCACCATGTCCTGCCCCACCTCCGCTCTTCCGCAGGGGTCACGCCACCCACTCCTGAGTCCCCAGCCCCCCAGCTGGGCACCAGGAGGGACGTATGCAGTGGATGCTGCCCCCAGTACTCGCTAGGAGCAGGAGCTGCTCTGGGAAGGTTCATGGGCTGAAGCCTGGCCACTGAAAGAGCGCTTTGCTTTTGTCTGGTCAGCATCCGTGACATCAGCACCCAGTGCTCCCTGGGACCCTCGGTACCCCACTCTCTGATCAGGATCCCCATCCTGGCACAGGACCCAGGCCCTCCCCCTCAGGATGTGACCCCAGATAGGGTGGGGAACTTGTGTGGATCCTGGAGAGAGGAGGCTTTTCCTGGGATGCTGAGCAGGGAGGACAGTGAGGGGGAGCACTAGAGATCCCTGGCTGGAAGCAAAGTCGGCACCTGGATCCAGCCACACCTGAACTCATCCTGGATGTTGTCTCAGTTGTATTCACAGGAACCAACCTTTCCCCTCACCCCACCTAGATCAGTCTCTCTCTCTCTATATATATATAAAAGCAAGTTTGGATTGTTGTATCACTTGGCCCTGGGAGAAGCGGGCTCAGGACCTGTAAGTGTGGCTGTTCTAGGTGAGGGGCCCACAGGGTACCTGCAGATCTGCACCTCGTAGCCCAGTTCCAGGGGGTCATTGGGGGCTGTACCATTCTGGAAATCACTGACGTTGAAGGAGGAGAGCGTGTGGTTGATGAAGCCATGCATAGTCCCATTCTTGCTGTACATGTAGAGGTAGACCAGGCGCGGGATGAAGTCGGACGTGAAGGAGATCACAAAGGCCTGGGGGGGGACAGCTGGGTGAGCAGAAGGGAGGAGAGAGGATGCCCACCACATGGGGAAACAGCGGGGTGAATGGGGGGAGGGGAAGGGCTGCCCACTACACAGGGGGGATAGCAGGGTGAGTAGAGGGGAGGGGAGAGGGCTGCTCAGTACCTGGGGGCACAGTGGGGAAAGCAGGGGGAAGGGAAGGGCTGCTCACTACATGGGGCGGGGTGGACAGCGGGGCGAATGGGGGGAGGGGAGAAGGCTGCCGACTAGCTAGAGGGGGACAGCAGGGTGAGCCGGGTTCTCACGAGGGGAGGTAGAGGGGGTATGGGGATGGGCTGCCCACTGCCTATGTGACACAGGCAGCGTTGGTCCTGAGACCCAGCTATGTGGCTCTCGGTCCCTCTGTCCTCTGGCGTCAGCATGTGGAATGACCACAGGAAGCTGAAGAGCAGGAAGTCTTAGGTCACTGTGCTGTCTCTTATAGGCTGTGTGACCACAGCCACATCCCCTAAACTCTCTGAACCTCCACTCTCTCCTTGTAAACAAGGACTCCTGCACCTGGCCTCGCTAGGGGTACAAAGCAAAAGTGCTTGGGAGCTGCTGTACCGAGGAACAACCTGGTGTGGTGCATGGTTAAAGCAGGGACGCTGGAGGCCATGCCCGGGCTGTGTGACCATGGGCAAGTGGCTCACCCTCTCTGTGCCTCAGGTGTTTCATCTGTAACATGGGAGGTAGCCCTCCAGCCTCTGAGGCCTCCCCTCATCTCACACGGACCAAGGGAGCTGGCCAGGCTGCACTGAGGTTGGGGCAGGAGACTAGACCCAGGCCCTCCCGCTGGCCCGGCCGGTGTGAGAGTCACTTACGTTAATGATGACCGCCAGCTTGCCAATACCTCTGAGAATATTGTACCAGATTCCTGGGGGAGAAGAGACACCAGCTTTAGTTCGAATTTCTAACTTAGCCCTGGTGGTGCAAATGGTTAAGTGTTCAGCTGCTAGCACAAAGCTTGGTGGTTCAAGTTCACTCAGAGGTCACGTGGAGGAAAGGCCTGGCAATCCACTCCTGAAAAATCAACCGTTGAAGACCCCATGGAGTGCAGTTCTCCTCTGACACACACACACACGGGGCACCATGAGTGGGATCTACTTATGAAAAATAATCTACTGAGAACCTTATGGAGCACAGTTCTACTCTGACACACACGGGGCACCATGA